GAGTTGGACACTTAACCGACTGAGCCACCCAGGCGCCCCCTTTTTTAAGTTAATTATCTATTTTTGAGAGAGAGAGAAAGAAAGAGCGTGAAGGTGGGAGGGGCAGAGGGGGAGGTGGAGAGAGAGAATACCAAGCAGGGTCTAAGTTGTCAATACAGAGCCCGACGTGGGGCTCGATCCTACGAACTGCGAGATCATGACCTGAGCAGAAACCAAGAGTCGGAAACTCAACCTTCTGAGCCACCCAGGCGCCCTTCCTTCTTTATCGGACTGTGAGAACACAAGGCCTGGTCCACGGAAAGGGCCATACAAGCTGTGTTAGTTAGCTATTGCTGTGTGACAAATTGCCTCCAAAATTACCAGCTGGAAACATTTATTAGCACACATTTTCTGAAGGTCAGGAAGCCAGGAATAGCTTAGCAGTGTGGTTCGAGCGTCTTATGAGGCCGCAATCAAGGTATTGGCTGGCGCTGAGGTCATCTCAAGGTTTCACTGGGAGAGAGTCTACTTCCAAGTTCACTCACGTGGGCCTCTCCCCAGGACTGCCTTGCATAACAGCAGCCAGCTTTTTCCAGAGGGAAAGATCTGAGAGAGCACCACAGTCGTGCATATTACAAACCTCGGATGTAACAGCCCATTTCTTTTGCCGTATTCTGTTCATTAGAAGCAAGTCTCTAGATCCAGCCCACTCTCAAAGCAGGGGGGATCATAGGAGAATGTGAAGACCAGGACGTTGGGCCATCTCGGAGGCTGCCTCCGAGTAGACCCAGCTCCTGCCCCATCCCCAGGGGGGACAGCCAGGCACAGACACTCTGGCTCAATGAGGCAGAGCTGGGGCCTGTGCGAGCCCAAGGGGGTAGGGAAAGGCGTGCCGGCCAGCAAACATATCTTGTGCTCCTGCAATGTGCCACCCCACGTGGAGGCCAGGGCCACCGTGACACTAAGACCAACACAGCCTCCATTGTGTCCCCACAGGGCCTGCCGTCTAGTGGGGGGAAAGAGACTCAAGAATTAAAAGGCAATAAACCAGACACACAAGATCATTACAAACGATGAATGTCGCTAGCGGTTACAAGTCAAGCTTTAGAGCCACACTGCCTGGGTTCAAATCCTGTCCCCACTACTCCCCCCGACCTGGGCGAGCGACGAAACCTTGCTGTGCCTCAGTTTGCTCGTCCGTAAGGTGGGGACAAGAGAGTACCCACACCATAGGGTTGTTGGGAGGGCTTCGAGAAGTCATGTTTAGCATGGTGCCTGGCATGGAGCGGGCACTCAGCAAATATTGGCCATCCTGCCAAGGAGCAACAAGGTTGGAGAGTGTACAGAGACACAGGGTCAGGAGAGGGCTCTCTAAGATGACATTTAAGCGATGGCATGATGACAATGAATAGCAAGGAAGAGGGATCCAGGCAGAGGGAGCAGCAAGTACAAAGGCCCTGGGGCCGAGCATGTTTAGGAACAGCAAGGCCAGTGTAGCTGGAAGAGTGACAAAGGAAAGGAGAAGAGGTTGTGGACACAGTCAGGAACCTCAGGTGGTGTCGATTCTAAGGGCAACAAGGAACCGTGGGAAGGTGTTGAGTAGGAAAATTCTGCAAAGGGTCCCGAGGGAGGCAACATCATAAGGCATCACCAGGCAAGAGGAGGTCCAGCGTGTGCCAGGCAGAGGGAACATCCTGAGCCTGACAAGGCAAGTTGATATGAGGGCCAGATGACACGATAGAGGTGGGGAGTGGCGAGTGGGCAGATCCCAGGATAGGTCACAGTGTCCAGCTGGAGGTTGAGTCTTTTTCCTGCAGAGGATGGGGGTCGTGGAGGGTAGGTGAACAGAGTGCATGCTCAGATGTGCATGTCAGAAAGACCAAGGCAGAGGCAGGGGCCAGCGCATGGAGAGGAAAGGACGGGTGCTGGAAGGTTCAGAACCAGTCAACTGGCAGTGGAACTTTCCCCAGCTGCACACCATCCCTGCTGCTCACAGAGCCTGTTTCTTCACCCTTAATGGGTCAGTCCCCCCACCTCCCTGAAAGGATCAGCCTCGCGGCCACAGCAGGTGCTCAGGCATTCCCATGTGGGGACTGTTACCAAGATTTGCTCGGACGGGAATCCCCCACGACACCTATTCCCCCCCACCCAGGAAGACCCCCGCAACAGCTTCTTCAGGCAAGCCCCTCAAAGACACCCCAGAGACCTTCTTCCAGGGATACCTGCCTATGACACCAAAATCCCCTCGCGTGAGATCACAGTCTCCAGAGACTCCCCAAACAAGTCTTGGAATACACAGCAACCTCTCCACAAAACCTGAACCCCCCAAATCCTGCACAGACTCCAAACTCTCAAAGAGCGCTACTGCCACAGAGAAACCGGTAAATTGTCCCGTGGAGACACACACCCTTCAGGAACCCTAAAAGTCCCTTACAGGTACCCCAAAAGGCCCCTTCATCCATCACACCCGAGAAAGCCCTAAGTAAACCCAAAGTGTCTTGGCAGCCCCCAGAGACCACTGGGTCACCACTGTGGGACCCTAGGGACCTACCAGAATCCATGAAGAGCCCCGAGAGGCCTGTCACAGTCACCAAGTCCCCACAGAGACCCCCAAATACCCAGGGGCTCCCAATCAGCCTCAGCTCTCTGGAACCCCAACCAGCTCCCCCAAAGATCTCCAAGTTACCTTCCAGTGCCCTGAAGTCTCCAAAGCAGCCCCTAGAAGCCTGAAACCTACTCATCTCCTTCCAGAGACCCTCAAACTGTCCCCTGCAGCTCCCCTCAGTGACCCCCTACCCGGCACTCTTTCAGGTCCCGGCCCCGCCCCTAACCCCGCCCTCACCTAAGCCTCGCCCCCAGTATCCAAAACCCCTCTCCCCAAGCCCTCAGGACCCCCCAACGCCGCCGCTGCAACCTCCACCTCTGACCACCCCCAGGACGCGCAGCCGGCGGGGGACCAGGCCGCGAATGCACTCACAAGAGGTCCCGCCTCGCGGTCTTGCAGACGATACGCAGGAAACGCCAGCCGCCGCCGCCCACGTACACGCCGAGCGCCGCCGCTGCGCTCCAGGTCCACGGCAGCCCCAGCAGCCACAGCAGCACCAGCGAGACCACGGAAGCCGAACCTGCACCCGGAGCCCGCATCCTGGGGAGGCGGAGAGCGCTGAGGCCGCGAGCCGCTGGGGCCCCGCCCCACAGCCAACCGGGCTCCGCCCCCCGGCCCCGGCTCCGCCTCTTCGGGGAGCCCAGGCCACCGCCTTCGGGTTGGGCCCCGCCCTCCTGCCTGAATTGGCCGTGTTCCGGACAGGCTCCGCCCCTGGATCAGGGCCCCGCCCCCATCCCATGTTGGATACAGGCTTCCTGGTTCCTAACCCTCCTCAGGCTTCTTTGCCAATCATTATTACAGGCCACGCCCTCAGACGCAGCTCTTCCCCTCCGTCAGTCACTATCAAGCCCTGCCCCACGTCTTGACCTAGAGGCTGGACTCTGAACCCAAGCTCCATCCTCACGACCTGGCTCCAAGCATGGGCTCCACCTCTTCCCTACCACGGACCCAGTCGCTTCCCCGTAACTTGACCAGCCCTTCCCCATGCCTTGACCTAGCCGTTGTCTTCAGTTACAGGATCTTTCCCGTTCCCAAGCCTGTCCAGCCAACAGGGCCTGAGCTTTCCCCCAAAGTCCCGCTTCTACCCTTCCTCCGCCACCCATTGGCCCCGCCCCCAGTCAACGATCTGGTCCCGCCCACAAATGCATACCACGCCCATTCCACGCTAGGCCCCTCCCCTAGCCCCGGGCTTCGCCCGCCCCTTATCCCAGGCACAGGTTCCACCCCTGGCCACTGGCTCCTCCCTCGAGCTTTACCCCAATCGTCACCCTCCGGGCCCCACACTGGCCCACCTAGCGCCCTAGGCCCCTCCCCACCTGCCAGCCCAGGCCCGCCCCAAGGCCCTCTTCTGACTTG